AAAATAAACCCAGGGCCTTTGGGGGGAAAATTTGAATTTTTTTGGGGGGGGGGGGGGAAACAATTTAATAAAAAATCCGCCCGGGGGGTTTCCCTTGTCCCCCCCCCCCCCCCCCCCCTCTTGTTATGTTTGAATAGAAGATTGGGCAGGGGCGCCTAACATGCATTGGAATTTGGCAGTCTATTTAGACTGTTTTATTAAAACCCATTTGCCTGATATATGTAATTTCAAATGCATAGTTAGAAAGTGACATGTTAAACCTGTAGTGGTAGATAATGTCCATGTAAGTCCCCACAAGTACTGCAGTGAAGGGGGTTGAGGGGGGAGGGGGGGGGGAGAGGATTTGCTTTGGAATTTCCCTTTCTGATGTTAAATAATATTTATATCTAGGAAATTATTTTAGTTCATATGTAAATACAGTTGCCAAATTAAATCAAAAGGTGCCTTGCGAAAATCGAAAGTGTTTTTCTCAGAAAATGAACCAGTGGAATAGAGAGATAATGAAACTGTGTGCATTGTTTTCCTTGTCTGTTGTTTAAAATAAGTTGCCAGTTTAATAAATAAACAAAACAAACAAATAAGAGTAAGACAAGTGTTATCAGGTCGCACACAGTCATCTGATCCACCAGACCATATTTCTTTGTCTTACCATGTTTGTATTAGTATCTTCCTTCTTCAGAAAATTTATTACAAGCTCCAGTAGTTTTATCCTGTTCGTGATAATTTTAAAACCATGCTGTATACTGTATCTGTGAGCCTAAGTGCCCCAGCCCCCTCTTGTATCATTTCTATACCCCCTCTATCAGTGGCAAGTCAGTGTTGCCCCCCCCCCCCCCCACATTGGTCTGTTAAGATAATTTATTTATTAACAAAACAAGGTTGTTTTTAATGGAACTTCATAGCACAGGTACAGCATGTAGAACTAACAATGAAAGGAATATTTACATACTGGAATTAATATAGTATTTTTTTTCAAAGAAATATCTACAGGTCTTTAATTTGATAATAATTGTTTAATAAAACTACTTATAGTTTGTGCTTATCTGCTATTGGGTGCCCTCCCTCAAAATTATCAAATCCTCTAGTGTGAAGCAAAAATGACAAAAAGAAAAGCTTCTTCACATATCAATTAAATATTACTTGGCTCAAAAATAAATGCTTAGAGAATTGTCTTAGTATTTAGAGAGTCACAGTGTTCACTATGTCCTAGTAGACTCAGTTGTTATCAGAGGTTCACAGCCTTGATACAGTGAATGCTTGGCCAGTCAGCCTTGAGATCCTTAGCGTGTGTCAGCATATAGATATACATGACGGCACACAATGGCTGGGGCTGTTCTTTATGTAATCACTTTGATTTGTGTTCAAGGATGCAGAGAGAAGTGAGTGAGCGGGAATACGTGTTGTTTTGTTTTGATATGGGGGTCATGCACTCCTCCCCTCCTACACTCTCTCTATCTCTTTCTCTCTCTCTCTCTCCAAGCTAAGACATAATCTGTTTATTAGATCCTAGCTCCAAGTAAAGGAGTATGGGAGAAATTAGAGAAGTATGTAGTTACTGCAGATATTAAGGGCATGTTGCTGGCCTTCCAAGCTGTTGTCTATTGATTAAGGGTATAAATATCACCAAGTCTTGCTACAGTGTAGTTAATTATGTGGGGTTTTCATGAGCTATCAACCTTTGCTATGAGATTTGTGAATTTAAGGGTGCATCCCCAGAGATTTAGATTGATCCAGAGATTTAGATTTTGATGACCTAACTCCCCGGGGGTTCACGCTAAATTGCAGTCAGCCGAGGGCGCACCATAGTTAATTACCCCCTTACAGCTTTTAGTAGGCGGGACAGACGCTTAAGCCAGCTAAGCTGACAGTAATCTAGTGAGACTCCCCACAGGGGTAGATCGATCTAAAATCTATGGGAATGGGGTTTAAGTTATATACCAGTCTTTTACTCATAGTTAGTTAATTAGTCAGTCAGTTAGTCAGCCAGTAAGTAAGTTAACAAGGAACTCTATTTTTAATCCCAAGTCTTTGTTTCTCTACCAGGAACCTATCCATAAAGTCAAGTTCAACAGAGCCAGGACTTTCTGTACCATTCCAAAGCTTATTATCTCTGCAGTGATCATACTCACAATATTATTGGCTGTAGCTGTATATTTCCTTGGTGAGTTCTGTAAAACTTCAATTTGAAAACATCGTCAATATGAATGTATTTCTTAATCATTTTATTATTCAGATTAACCAGTTTTGGTAACCTTTTTTTATAAATAACATTATTATTTTTATCAAAATCCTGTCATTTTGAACCTCAACGTTCATATGAGTATTTTCAAAACACTTTTTTCTTCATTCTTTTTGATATGATGAAATTAGTTAGTTTTTCTAAATCAGAGAGAAAGTTTGGAGAAATAGTTCTATCAAGTGGTAAAAGTGAGGTCTTGTTGTCCATGAGGCAGAAAAAATATCAAATTGAAAGGACTGAGACAGTATTTTTTTAACATATATATATATAGCTTTCACTTCTTTTCCATTCCAGTTATATCAATATTACACAATGAAGGCTCACAAATATCTTACTCTGGAGCTCCATCTAGCGTCATACAAGGCAGCTTCAAAATTATAGGGGGAGCTGTCTTCAGTGACGAGCTTAACGATCATCATTCATCTGCATTTATAGTTTTATCAAGGGAAATTCAAAAAGAGGCAAGTATAATGAAACGGTTTTGATTCAAAGCAGATGTTAACCCGCCAAAAAACTGTTATTATTGTTGTTATCATCGTTGTTGGTGTTATTATTGAATTTTAAAAGTATGTCTTAGTTAAACAGCTGTTTACCATGTTTTTATCTGTGAACAAACCTATATTTATCCCTGTTATTACAGCTGTGTGAGCAGACATTATGAAGTAAGATAAAACATAAGTACCAATTTTCATCTTTCAGCTCAATATGATATTTTCCAAACATGAACCACTGGGCCAAAGTTATAACTACTCAAGAATAACAGAATATAGGTAAGTTAATATGAATTATTGTACTTAAAGCATTTGAAACTTGATATAAAAGACTATAACCATGATACGAGGAAGCCAAAGTCACGAGAAACATCCAAGATCAAAAGTAATAATAATTTCAGGGTTTGTAATTTAACATGTACATGAATTTGGTAGTATAGTGAAATTTAAAAAAAATTGTACAAAAGTCCTTCTGTTATGATTTTTTAATTGTTTTATTTTAATTTATTCTATTTTGTTTTATTTATTTATTTATTTATTTGTATTTTTGTATGTTTTAATTGGTGCCTTTAAAACATAATCATCCTTTCTCTGTCCAGGCAGGGCAGTATCGTGGTCCTGTGTACTCTTCACATGGTCAAGCAGTACCCGTCTGACCAGCTCCAGCAGTATGTGGACAGTGTCCTGGAGGACATCCCGCTGGACCAAGACGGCAGCAAGAAACTGGGACGCTTTACATTGGACAGCAGTAGTATTAAGCTGAAAGGTGAGGATTCTCAAAGATTGTGGTAGATGTGACCAGGGATTGTGTCTGGATGTGCTAGATGTTTTACTAGATTGTGTCTGGATGTGCTAGATGTGTTACTATATTGTGTCTAGATGTGCTTAATATTCTACAAGATTGTGCTGGGTGTGCAAAATTTTCTTCTCGATTGTGTCTGGATGTGCTAGATGTTTAACTAGATTGTGTCTGGATGTGTTGCACGTAATGAGAGTTGGATTTGTATGTTCTGAGAAAAATTATGTAGAGTAATTGCACATAATTGTGTTATTTTTTCCTTCTAATAAGTAAATGATAATGGTTTCCCTAATAGAAAGAAAATACTATTTTGTTTTATATATAAAATATGACTTGTGTCCTTTTAGTGAGGGTAATGGACAAGAATGGCTATGATAACCTAAGTACAACAGTGTCAAGTATATGGTCAACATCAAGTACAGCTCGGTCCACGACCACTGCCACACCTACAACTACTGCTACAACAACTACCACACCCAGCACTACTACGACTGTCACGACCACGCCCACTACATGTGAGTGCTCATGATGAGTGAAACCATATGTTTATATTAGATAAAACATGGGAAATATGAAAGAAATGTTGGGGCATGCTCAATTGTGTGCAAAGACAGAGGAGGGTTTACTGCTTTGATGTTATTGTGATGGTTGGCTTTTCCTGTGCCTCTCTCTCTCTCTCTCTCTCTCTCTCTCTCTCTCTCTCT